TGTAGCCCTGAGGTTGACTCACTTATTTATTTTCTACCCTTCCTCTCTCTGTATTTCTGCCCCCCCCCCCTCTCTCTCTCATTCCCTCTGTCGTCCACATGTATCAAAGGAGGCGAAACCGCCTACTTCTACAACAACAACATCCAAGATGTGCTAGAGCTGATAGCCAGTTAGTTGTAGAACGTCAGTACCGTCGGTCAGTGTCGTGCAATGATTATGTTATAGCATGAACTGATTGTTTAGTAGCTGGTGGTGTTAGTGGACATTATAGAGTAACTTGTAGTTCCTTGGTCCTTTTTCTTTTCTATAAATTTATCCTTGGCAACAATATGGTAAGCAGCTTATATTATACTAAACTTCTTCTGTCTTGCTATGGTCCGAACATCATCCGGCAGCAGGTTCCAGAGTGCAGATCCTGCGACGGAGTCCGGGACGGTTGAGAAGCGCTAGAGCGAGTGGAGGATGGCTGACTGAGCAGACCACTGGACCTCTGAGGACGGGTTCTCCTGCCAGCAGGTCTGACGAACAGTCCAGACACGTGGCGCTAGCTTTCCCGTGAAAGTACCTCCAGACAAATACTAGTACTAGTAGGTTGCGCTTGCTCAGTTCACCTATCCGGTACAAGCCGTACTGCACCAGCAGGGGATGCACGGTTGTATAGGGTGGGTGCCACCGTGGCCGTCGATAGCTCGGATAGCCCTGTTCTACAGCAGACCCAGGCGATTAAGCTGGCGGCCAAGGAGCGCGGGGAAGAAGGCGTTACTGCCGTAGATTATGTCAGGGATGACAACAGCCTGGACGAAGAGACGCCGTGCAGACCGGGACAGGGCGCGACGGGCTCGCTACAGCGCACCAATCTTACAGGCTTGGTGACAATTCGGTCGATTTGAGCGTCCCAGGAAAGCTCGCTATCAAGTACAACACCGAGGTACGCGGTAGTTGATGCGGTTGGAACGGCTACTCCACGACACTGGACAGTAATTTAACGAGAAGGTTGTCCACCTAGCACCTGTCGGTGAGGAAGGAAGATTTACGGCTCGGCTTTTGGTAGGGTTGAGGACAAGACCCCTCGCCTGCAGCCAAACAGCTATTATTATAGGTTGGTGACTCGACTGCCGCAACCGTCGTGTGATAAGGCTACAGCGCCAGCAGAACTCTGCGAGGAGTGCGATGCTATGTCGTCCGCAAACTGGGTGCTGGGTACAGGGTGCAGGACGGAGGGGACGTCGCGGATGTAAATGGAAAATAGCACAGGACCTACATTACAGATCCTCGTGGTACACCACACGTGCAGGAGGTGGCCTGACTCGTGGTTGGCCCAATGATTGATGATGATTATGATTGATTTTATTTTACTTCGCAAGTTCAAACGGGTTCCTGGCCCAGTTATATGAAAGCGAAGGGTAGAATTTGCCAAAATCCTAATGAGCAACAGCATAGGCAATATTATCATAGAAGTGGAGTACTATGCGAGCGAGAATACTGAGAAGAAAGGAACATGTCAAAGCCTGACGAAACACAACCTATTTCAGGCATACATAAGGAAGGCAGGCTAGCTTAAAATCTTGCAATCTGGATACGGTGCGCACCTCTCTAGGCAAACTGTTCCACAGCAATGCTCCTGCAGTGGCGAATCTCGTTTGGCCACACCGACTGCGAGCTGGCTGGCTGAGCAGACCATTGGCATGCTGATGGCGCGTACTTCTGCCGCTGCATGCTGCTGGTTTGAGAAGCTGGGCTAGAGCAAGGCTAGTGGAGTCATTTAGACAACGCCAGATGAAGATCAGGAGCTTTTGTTTAAAAAGTTCAGTGACGCGGTAAATCGAGTTGGCAGCCAGGAGGGGCTGCATCGCGGAACATGGCGGGCTGCCATCAATGCATCGGATCGCCCGGTTTTGCATGGCTTGCAGACGCTGAAGTTGGGTCACACGGAGGGCTGCAGAGAAGCTGCAGGCACCATATATCATATCCGGCATGACAATAGCCTTTACATATATCTTGCGCGAGCTGCGGGAGAGGCATCGACGGGCTCGCCACAAGGCGCCTATCTTCCTTGCAACTTTGGTCACTATGGCGCTGACGTGTACATCCCAACTCAGGCGGTTGTCAAGAAAGACACCAAGATACCGCGCAGACTTCACTATCGGTAGAGAGGTATCGCAGCACACGATAGAGACCTCAGGCCCGGCATGTTGCGGTGAGATAGTCATTACCTGGCTTTTCGAGGCATTTAAAATTAGGCCGCGTGACTTAAGCCATATGGCGAGATCAGTAACAGCTGAAGAGACGGATTTGGAGACTTCCCCAGCGGAAGCTTTTGAATCATACAGAGCAATGTCGTCTGCGAATTGCACGCTGGGTATTGGCGATGAGACCAATTTCACATCACGGGTGTAGACGTTAAAGAGAACAGGCCCCAAGACGGAGCCTTGGGGCACACCACAGGTGCAGTCAAGAGCACGACTTGTGGCCGAAGCGACTGTAACTTGCTGCCTGCGATCTGTCAGGTAATTCGCGAACCACTTCAGGGCGACACCAGAGATACCAACGTCAAAAAGGTCTTGGATGAGGATACCATGCCGGACTTTGTCAAAAGCCTTGGACATGTCGAGGAGGCACAGCCCTGTTACCAGACCACTGTCCTTCGCCTTCTGCAAGCTGTCCGTGAGAACACAGAGGGCATCCTCAGTGGAGCACTTCTTCCTGAAAGCAAACTGAGAATCAGGTAGGGCATTACTCAAGTCTAGATGGCGAACTAGCTGACGCTGCACCACTCTCTCCAACAGCTTTGAGACAACTGGAAGGAGGGAAACAGGGCGATAATTGGTGGGGACTGATGGGTCCCCGGTCTTGTAAAGCGGTACAACGGTCGCCAGCTTGAACGCCAAAGGAACCGTGCCAGTGCGGAGGGAAGTGCAAAACAGTACTGCTAAAGAGTATGCCAATAAATCGGAACACTGCCGCAATAGCGAACCCGGTATGCCGTCACTTCCCGTAGCTTTGCGAGCATCTACCTGCTGAAGGAGACGTTGAACGTCCGATGGAGTTACAGGGGAGAACTCGGTTAGGGAGACAGGCCCGTTTGGGCCACACGGAACGCCGAGATGGTCGGGTCGGTTTGTGTCTGTAACAATAGAGTGGAACGTGTTGCTGATCTCATGGACGTCGCAGCACGGATCCTGACGGCACCGTGAGCGCCCTGTTACGGCATTGAGAATTTCCCAGGACTTTCTTGGGTTACCAGCATTCTCTTTGCACTGGGTGGCGAAGTACGCATTTTTCTTTTGCCGAGAAGCGTTACGAGCAATGCTACGTGCTCGTTTGAACTCAGTGTAAAGATTTCCATTCGTTTTGTCCTGTCTCCAACGTTTATGAATGCGACGTTTTCGCTGCATTAGCCTGTGTAGTTCTGCGTCTACCCACCGTGGTGTGGACTGTCTGGGAGGCTTTGAGTTGCATAGGGGGGCATGCTTATCCATAACGTGCATAAACTTGGCATGCCATTCTCTCCACATGATATTTACATCATTGAAGTCAGAAAAGTCATGTAGGTTGGCCTCACAGATATCATGACGGAACGCGGTACTGTCTATCTTATGGATTCTTCGCATGTGCCTTGGGGCCTGCCGTGTAGTCCGGGGAACATCGACCTGGATATTGCACTCCACGGCACTGTGATCACTGATATCAAGAGGTACGACAGTAGCTACAGTTGCATGGGTAGGGTCAGCCAGAATGAGATCAATTATAGTACCATTCGGACAGCGGGGAGTTTCACGAGTGGGTTCTCTAACGATGTTCTTGAGGCCATAGGCGGCACAGAGGTCACTGAGATAGTGATGCTAGCTGGGGACCAGGCTGTTTTGGGTCCATGTTGACGAATGCAGACCATCTGCTCTCGCGCAGTCAGGTAGCTTGCAAACCAGGTGAGGGCCGATCCGCACACAACGAGTCGGTGTCACCGATGTCAAACAGATCGACAATGAACTGTATGTGGCGGACTTTATCGAATGCTTTCGACATGTCCAATGTGCATAGTCCGGTCGCATTTCCCCTGTGCTTGGGAGCGAAGAGACTGTATAATAATCTTATAATTTTTATTTCAGGATTTCTACCTCGTAGAATCAACTTGAAGACAAAGGCCCCAAAACTCAAAAGCATAGGAAAGGATTCATTGTGTATAGTAGGAACCAATGAGTAGTATTATGCTACTCCCTGGTAGGAACAACCAACAAGATAAGACGGGGTTGATACTTGATAGCGTAGATCTACCGTTTTCTGGACATGACTGCTCCTTCCCACACTTTGTCCTGGAGAGCTGGAACACACTGCCTGCCCCAATCCTCGCCGAACGACCAACTCTCAAGAAATTGCCGACATTCAAGACCAAGGCCTACCATCACCTCCGCCAGACCAATTGGCTATGGGCCACTGACGTCCACCAGCACTGAGAATAACCGGTTGTCTCTATTATTATCATTTTCTGTTTCTCTCTCTCTCTCTCACTCTTCCTCTCCTGGGAAGCTCCTCATGCTCATTCTCCCTTTCTCTGTCCATTTCCCCTTCCTGATGCGTAGACCAACTGTTGAACCCGAGACCACTAGGTCGGGGGAGGTTGACCTACCTCATCGGCACGCATGCCAGGCTCCTCTAGCTCTGTGTTGTCAATGTTCGCTTGTCCAATTTTGTAGACCTCCCCTTTTATGTTGCTGGCCAGTGCTTTGTAGTAAAAAAATTAATTAATAAATGACACCATGCATGGCGCATGCGCGCATGGCCGACCAGCGGAGACGACCTTTGACCCCAGCGGATACCCTTCGAACTTTTGTCCCGATCTACAACTTTTTTTGGTTTTTGACTCGAAGAAAGTTTTGGGGCCTGTAGAGTGTAGGCTGCATGTATATGTACTGTTGCTGGTGCACCGGTGATTGTGAAAATATTTATGTGGTAGGTCTTCATATATATCTCTACACTGCGTTTGTGCAGATGTAGACGTCTGCAATGCAAATGCTGACTTGTGTTGTGGGCAGTTGCAGTTACGATTATGTCGTCACCGTTGTACTTCTTCGTTTCCATTTTCCATGGCCAGCCACGATCTTTACACCTTGAACCCGAGACTACGAACAGCTAGATCTTCGATCAGTTTCAGATAGAAGCAGAGAGTATCCCGATGCACGCACGCATTAGGCGTGTCCTCCAATTGAATATACTCGTGGACGATTGAGTAATTTATCTACTAATTGAAGCAAAGCCAAGGAAGGGCCCACCAACTTTCAGTGGAGTCAGAACGACACTACAATGGCTAGGTAGTCGTACTCTGTTCTTGTGAAGTATAGCAAACGGCCACGTTTGGTCTTTTCGAAGTAGAGTTCGCCGATCCATGCCTATGCTGTCCAAGCCTATTGCCTCATCTCTTTCAATGACAAGGATACACTCATAATTTCCGTAGAAGACCGGTAGACTGGAAGATTCGCCGGCATTTCCCCCGTATCCAAGCTGAATAACGGATCAGCGGCCACGGCACCTTGCACGCCTGGCTTACAGTTCCTGTCCCAGATCCAAGTGATGTCTAATGGGTAGCTTCCCGAACCTTCCAAGGCCATGTGCCTTAGCAGTGTTCGTTGCATTGGGAGTTATTTTGCAACTGCAGAATGATTTTGCAAAAGGTTAGCAATCGGAATGAACATCCAGGCACTATACCGTAGCTGAGATGAGTCCCTTCTTGGTATGCGACGCTTAGAGATGGAAATATGGATCCACGCACTAAACAGACTGCAATTGTCCAACCACGTCTTCCATAGAGCCTCCCCTCCCCCCCCCCCCCCCTCCACACACACACAACACCACACCATGCATGTAGACGCTAAATGCCAGTCATGGTTCAATGACCTGTGTCTGTGTCGGGGTGTGTATGTGTGTGTGTGTGTGTGTGTGCGCGCGCGTGCGTGTGTCTGTGTGTTTCTGCCTGTGTATGTGTATGTACGAGTGTGTGTCTTTCTGCCTGCGTGTCTTTCTGACTGTGTGACTCTGTGTGTGTGTGTATGTGTGTCTGTTGGCCGCACCATTAGGTGAGCGTGTATACTTATTGAATGTGAGCATTGGCAATGCAACACAGTTGCCACAGTCAGCGATCTCGTTGCTTCGGCCCGGTACCCAATGGCCGCTGGAGACTAAGCAAGGGATTAGCAGCAGGATTACCTACTCCACAATCCATATACATGCAGGTAGGCATTTCTTGCAACTGACCATCCCCATTATAGCTAATACATGTGTATCTATAGTCTGTGCATCTATTCCGGAGACATCACTGCACGCTATCTTGCCCATTGTAGGCATTTTGGTAGGTCTGCAGTCTGTGGTAGGTCTGCAGTCTGTGCACCTGTAGAGATCACTGTACATTATGTCCATGTACTTGCCCTTTGCGAGTGGAATTGCTAGACTTCGGCTCTGTTCACATGAGAGTTTTCCAACCCCGGTCTCTACGGTTGAGGCAAAAATGGTGCGTGTTCAATATTGCTTGCATGATGAGGGTTGACCCAGGGAGATGTCCCTCTCTTCATTCCTTTCCTTACACAGGAGAGCCCCCTGATAGGCTTCTGCAGCCTTTGGACAATCCTTACATAAAAATCAATCAATCAATCAGATGCATATATATTCCAACAAAATAATGTCCATTTCTAGAGTCCTGTGTGATTGCGTGACTGCTGTGTCAGGGGAATTTGCATATGCGAGGTGGTACGAACCTGGCACGAAATGTGCACGGTAGTGTGTGTTTCTCGATTTCAACCCGGGTCAAGCGCGAACTCTACCCAGATTGAAAACTCTCATGTAAACACAGCCTTACAATTGAAGTTAGTCTTGAACCAGTCACCAGTGGCTGGAGCAAGATATACTTGCTGGCATGCTCTAGCAGCTGAACATGTAGTTTTACTTTCAGGCAAGAATTGCCAGCTAATTTGATGATCAAACCTACTTTCAGCTGCTCAGATGTGTGTGCGTATGCATGTGCTGGTGTCACTGTGTGTTCGTTTGTGTGGACATGGATGTCCGTGCATGGTTGTTTCTTGCAGGATCGATGTTTGTTTCAACATTTGATGACAAGGAGAGTGTAGGGTACCCCATGGTCTTCACTATCTCCAACTTTACCGCATGGTCCGGTTCCATGGTGGGTACCAAGCTCCTGCAATGCAGTCTGCAGTTCCGGTATCTACTTTACTTCGATATGAGCCGCACCTTGGGCACAATGGATAGTGCTGTTGTTGTGGGAGTGAGATACCAACAGTACAATGGCTCCAGGTCTCAGCTTATCGCTTCATGGTTGTGCTGCGAGCGCGGTGGCATGAACATGTTGAACACAGTGAATATATCCTTCCAAGTGGAGAAGAATCCGTTCGAGGTGAGAGTCTATGCTGTGTTTATGCCACACCAGGGTATATATTGCATCTCCTCCGCTTGGCGGAAACCTCATCCCCGTTTTTTGTTTTCTTTGTACTAAAATGACTGCTTGGAGTATAATAAGAACGGCTGGGTGGATTTCTGGCCTGATTTCAAGAAATCCAATTGTAGCTTTCACCCTGGAAATGTGCTAAGACGGCTCTGCTCCCATAGGATGAGATATGACTAATAGCATCAACAATCGATTTCTTATAGACTAGTAGAGTAGACCTGTCCACAGTCAATGCCCCTTTGTTTGGAAGTAAAGTACTATGACATCACACTCTCAGTATTACGGTGATGCCACAATGTGATGATGTCATGCATGTGCTTCTGTCACCGTGCAGGTCTTCCTCTGGCACAACAATACCGGGAAAGGGGATATGTTTCTTCTGGACATCTTACGTGTGTCTTGCTCCGTGGAACACACGCACACTGCCAGCATGGGCCCGATGACCGCGCTGCTCCACACAACCTCTAGCTCTGCTATGGCTGGTCCAACGACAAAAGACAGTACTTCCCACTGGGCTTCCAGTACGATGATATCTGCGAATTCTACCTCACAGCACTCCTCGCCAAGAGCCCTGGACGATGAGCCATCCTCCCCAGTAACCAAGGTGGTAATGTCAGTGGTCGGTGCCTTGATTTTCGCAACGCTTCTGCTTCCTGTGGCCATCAAGGCCAAAGCCTATTGGCAAAGGCACCAACGTGGAACGGGCTATCAGCTTACTCCCACTCGTGATGGTAAGAAATGATGTAGGTGTGCCAGGCAAGACTTGGACCAGGCCGTGTAAACATGGCAGTCACGGTGGTCAGCCGCCTGTATTTATCCGTTTATTCTTTATTTTATGCCAAGATCGAAACCTGTAGTGCAGATTTGTTGTGAAATACGATCAAATATCCTGCAGATTGGAAACATTGTTGGTGTATGGAACTCCAGAAATCGGTGGTTAAATCATGTTGAATACCGGCCTTGTGACTATCGTTTTTGGCAGCTAAGCTGGTGTCATTGTAGTCAGCTATGGGGTGGCAAAAAGCATAATTATGCTGCTGAGAATCACAGGCCAGACTAAACTTTGAGTTCCAACAGGTTTATTGGATGCCATAGACGTTCACTTCTCAAGTGGTCTGGCTGGCTACTTACTAGTTGAATGACCGCCTCCGAATTGCTTGCCTGTTCATGTGAAATAGTCTGTCTACCTCTCCACTTGCGATTTCATTGGATCAGGTCCTCTTGTGGATGGCTTCATCAGGCACTCCCAGCAGCTTCAGGCCCATCGAGAGAGACAGCTAGTGCAGGATTCCGAAGAAGCAGCAGCAAGAGGAGATGCTGCACCGCACACTGTGTATGGTAAGACACTGGTGGTGTGTGTATCATGGTGTGTGGTAGACACTGAGTCTGTTTCGGATTTGATATACAGTCAACATTGCGAATAGCGACCCTCCACAGGGCATGAGCACAGTGTTGTAATCTGTGAAGTGTCGGTATCATGTTCCTGAGGCTGAAAGTATGCAGTCACATGGCTACTAGCTCTGAATATAGTGTTGTTCATATTGGTGAGTTCAAGTGTTGTTATATCCTTGGCCGTTACTTATGAGGTTAACTGGTATCAGTACGTTCATCATGAGATAACTCGTGCAGATACTGGTTCTGCAGGAAGGGCAGGACTTTGTCCTCCCCTCCGGAAGACAATTCTACGTGAAAGCAATTGGCTACAAATTAAAATCAAATCAAATCAAATTTGGCTACCCGCCTTCATCAAGCCCATTCTGAACATCGCCCTTGCTCCTCAATGACACCCCAAGTCCTGCTTACCTTTCAAAATGATACCCTGACTACATGGAGGGCGCTAGCCACAACACTAGCCATTGACATAGTTAGCGGCTAGCGGTTGATTGACACACATTACTCTCCTTGAATGGTCTTATCTTACAGCTAGTCTTCTTTTGACTAGTGTAGCCCAAAAATCACAAAAGAAAAAAAAGAAAATGATAATCACTACTTTTCAAGCGAAATTTTCAGTATGGATTCCTTGAAATAATAATAATATAGCGGCTATGACTGGGATAGATCACGTTTCGTTCCTCAGCTATGTGTTTTTTTCTGAATGAGATGCATTAAAACGAGTAATACAGAAATGCACTGGACAATTTGACGATTGAAACCAAGTCCTTTTATTGCGTCCTTCCGAAAGACGTGTTGTCCTTCAGGAAGGATGCTATACAAACAAAAGTTTACAGGTTTGCCTTTCCCAATTGCCTGACAAACCCTTTCTGGAGGCAATTTTCCCGGGTTGATAGTACATGCATAACAGAATCAGGTGATATCAATAATATAGAATGAAGTAGTTTTTACAGAGAGTAAAAGCAAGCTTGAAAAGAGGACATAGTGGTCCAGGCAATGTTTGAAGGCTCTTCTGGTTTAGGACGAAACATTGTATACATCTTATGTGGGTTTTTTTTTCCACTGACTTTAGACATGGTGGGACCACCGACTTTGCCATGCCGGAAGCTGACAACAGTGCCAAAACACCGTAGCCAGGCCGGCCAGACCGCACAGCAGCTCAGTGCTCACCAGCTGCAGCCAGCCGACCAGTGTGCTAGCTCAACTCCCGCCAAGATAGACAATGAGGTGAGCCGGTGACATGTCTCACAGTCTGTATGCATACTGGTGCAGCCCTGGCTCTGGGAGGAGTGCAAAAGACATCCAAACCGACCCCCTGTGCTATGCCGAGATGTAACCAGCAGACAACACCGCGGAGTGCTGTGACTATTGACCCAAACTTATGACTGAGACTAAACTAAGTATGCGTACGCTCGTGAGAAGTCCCAGGTCTACTCGGTGCGCGGTTTGACCTGTACATTTGATTGTGTATGCATACGATACAGTGGGAGCAGACTTCACACAACCACACACTAGCATATTGCGACTGCGGACATTAGCGCAGTTGAATAATGTAATTTTCTACTTCAACTAACAATACCAAGTAGAACAGTATAATAATGCCATCCTTATTATGACCCCAGCATGTGGCAAGGAACAGTACCCTGCGATATTCGTGATAGCAGGTTGAAAAAAGCAATGTTCGTGTCATCAGGTATTCCATAGCTGCCCTTCCTAGCTGCTAGTGTTGATAATCCAAGAGACAGAAGTACATATTTTTAGTAAAATTTTATGTTATTATTTTTGGTATCAGATTCAGATATAATTATACCATTACTGCATATACATGTATATGCTTTCTCTTTACACAGAGCTCACGGACTTGTCTTGTCAGTTTTCATTGCTATCAGGTTCCACCTCATTTTCTCTGTGTTGTGCCGCGTGATGAGTCACCAAAGGATGACACAGGTCTGTCCAAAGATCGAGTGCTTTCTCTCGATGTGCTTTCTATCCCACAGTATACGCTGGATATCTCTCCCCCGTCTGCTAACATTGCTACTTCGCAAGCTGTTGTCCAGGACAAGACGTTGATAGATACCCGAGCCGATGTCAGTGCAGATGCATGTAAGCACAGTGTGGCCAACAGCTACCAGGCAACCACGAGTAGATCAGGAACAGCGATGGAGCAGCGCACGCCCAAGCAACAGCACCAGCAGCAAGGTGATGGTAAGGCGGCCGCCGGTGCTGGACCAGTCTGCAAGCAGTATACATACCACAATGCTCTCTCCCCGTTCCCTACGGTGAGGCCATCGGAGCATCAAGCCAGCATGCTCTATCATACTGAGAAAAATGTTCAGGTAAGACAGTCATGTGCCCTCTTTCCTACAGTACTACTTGCACAGGTGTGTACTAGTACTCCGCAATCCATTCTGGAACACAAACACATCTCCGATTCAAGTTTGTACGTATTTGTGCTCTTTTAAAAGGCTTGTCTATAGTCTGTTTCAAAAAGATTAGCAATCAGGTTTTGGTCTTAAAAAGTATGAAGATAAGGGAAATTTGGACAACAAAGTACATAAAATGGCTTGTTAGGGCACGGCAAATTGTTCTGTGAAGGTTTCGGAACAATTGGACCAGCCGTTAAGGAGTTAGAATTTCGGCCAGGTTTCCGGCCTTTTCCCATGGTTCACAATTTGCCCTGGAAGCCAGTATCGATTTTTTATCAAAACCCACGATTTATCCACTCCTTTTTGGCCTTGTGGTTATGAATGCTGTCTGCTGACCATGATGTTGTGAGTTCAAATCCAAACTATCTTCAAGTCAAACTTTTTTTTCATTGTTTTGGTGATCATGCTGGTAGATCTACAAAAAGTACAAGACAAAAAAAGAAGGTGGCTGCGCCAAACGACTTGTTTTTGGAGCTTGCATTTCCTGCCGAACTTTTTGACACTTGACTGGTTCACGCCATGTGAACACACCCACAAGGCACAACACAGAAACGGTGTGAGTGAACACGGAAGTCATTGCGCTGTAGCTACGTGTTGTTGAATACAACGGCACATCGATCGATTTCTTTTTGAGAATTATTTTAGTATTTCAAGATCGCCAATTTATTTGAATTACATGTAGGAGTCGACGCCGTCTTCTATCAGCTTTCACAGGCGTCTGCTTTTCTCAAAATGTCGTCCAAGTCACACGGATAGCTTTGCCAAGTCATGGCCTTGGGAATGAGTCTGTGTCGATGTCGTTTTCGTCACATCGTGAGAGTAAATTGCATCGCAGCTCAAAGAAACTATTTGGGCACAAAACGAATTGGGACCCATGGCGCTCGTCAACATTTAGCACACTTTCGACATGTCCTCTATATAATACCAAGAGTACATGTACTCTTGATAATACGAGGAAGAACTCGTTTGTTGTAAACCAGGCGTACATGCACCGACGTGAGTGAGTTGTCATTTTTCATGCTTTCGCGCGGAATATTTCTTCGAGTTCACAGTGAGTTTTTCCAGCCAGCGCTCGAGCGCTCATACGGTAAGACGGCAAACTCCCCGGTCGATTGCCAGGATTGCTAATCTTTTTGAAACTGACTGTAGTGTAGACAGGCGCATGGCAGTTTTCCAGTCAAATTTAGAAATGTAAGTGCAGTTAACACACCGGAAAATACAGCAACAATTGCTGTATTTATAAGAAAGAAAAGTAGAGTGGTATATGGCCAAAAGCTCTGTCGCAATATTTTATTGTCTAGTCTGTTCGACTTAATAATACGAGGGTAATAGTAAGCAACAGTCTGTGCGAATATGTCAGCTGGATTCTGCGGTTAACTTTTTTTCTTTTTTTCTGCTACAGTTTAGTACTCCGCCTGATCAGATCCAAGCAGGCCAGCCTGCTAAAGAATGCACCCCGAACAGTGGAGGTGGATACCTTCGGCCGTATGAGCTCCATGCTCTGGTAAGCACTCTGCGGATCACAGCAAGATCACTGGAGTGGTGATATGATAGAATGGGTGACATGAAAAAGAAAACAAACAGTCAACATCGCGAATATCAACCTCGGTTATAACAACAACTCGTGAATATCGACACTATCTTCAGACCTACTAGTAGCCAGTTGACTGCACACTTTCAACGTTGCAAATAGCGACAACTCGCGAATAGCAACACTCTTTTCATACCCGATCGGGGGTCGTTATGTTCGAGGTTGATTGTATGTGCGAGCGAGGTATTTGTCCATTACTAAGTCATGTGACCCATCAGTGTAAAGTGAGAAGGAAGTATGAGCTGGGAGAGACTGTCCACTTCTTCTGTAGAACTTTGCTCCTGGTTTCGTTCTCGAATTTGTTATGTTGTGAATTGCAGAAAGCGGACCGTCAACTTTGCAGATACTGTAATGTCTTGAATAAAAGCTGCACTGGAATAGAAGCGGCCCTCGAGTAGAAGCCTCACTTTTTGGAAACATCAAATCACGTGTTGGCACATGTGTGCACTCCTCCTTCGGCTTAAAAAAAAGGTTTAGTTTTACCTCCGTATGCTGACCATTTTATCATTGCACCGTGATCAAAACTTGATTGTGTTGCTTCTGAGCAACATTCTAGCTTCAAGACAATTGAAAAACTGAAACAGTCCTGATTATTGTGTGTGTGTGTGTGTGTGTGTGTGTGTGTGTGTGTGTGTGTGTGTGTGTGTGTGTGTGTGTGTTGGCACGGTGATGAGACCTGTCCAGTCTCGGTCCTTCCTGGATTAGTCACATGATCTTCATTTAAATGTCCACTTTTCCAGTCATGGGTATCCAATCTATCACTACTAATGTACTATCCATTTTTCCTGGAGTCAGTGTGAAAAATTAGAATGTGTGCGCGTGTCACGGGATTTGACTTTGTGCAGAATTGCAAACGGGACACCTCACCATCACCGACACAAGCAAACCAAATGGCCAGTGCAGTGACTACACCGGATGTTTGCATCCCGTCCCAGGGGGGCAACATGCAACGGTCACAGGTCGCCAGGAAACTGCCACCACCGTTGCCTCTGACCAGTGGACAGACACTGGGCAGCAATATATGCTTACCACCACCCCGGACCCAGCCGCCGCTCTCATCCAATACTAAGCCGGGCGTACCGTCAGCAGCGCGTACTGCCCTCGGTAAGATCTCTAGCAACTCAGACGTGGCAAAGCCTGGCCTTCACAACGCCAAGCAATCCAGGAAGGACCTGCAAAGTGACACTGTGGGCGTGAAGGTGGTCATTTTCGGAAAGGAGAATTCCAGCCCCGTCTACGCAGAGCTTTCAGCATGAATCTCTAAGTCTACCATGTGCAACCAATAGTCAATAGAATCCTGTAGGTACTGTGCAGGCTAGTACAGTGCATAGTAGAACTAGACTGCTTGGAATCAATCACATGACATGCTCTTCCGATTTGGATTCCAGAGCTGCCAGGTCAGTGTGGCATCCACCGGCATACCATGTCAATCAGCTTATCGTTTGCCTGATTGTGTGCTAAGTGTTACTGAGGCCTGCTGGTACATGGTATGGAGATGCTTGCCTTCAGCTGAAGTGCAATGCCCTGGGACACATCATTATGTGTTACCGTCACTGTGTCAGTGGTTGCTGGGTATGGGTGTGTGCAAGTAGAATCCGTTTGGCAACAATGCAGCAGCATCCACTGACTGTGGTACTGGCACATGGAATCATGTGCCTTGAGTCACTACTCAGTGCTAGAGTAGTGAAGTACTAATCTTGATACTTACCTGACGGGATACCACTCACTGTTGTATGATTGTACACTGATACATTTACAAGGCCCAGAGAGTGTGTGGCCTTACTGCCACTCCTGGCAGATTATCATTGTGATGATCTCCAGACTCCACTAGTATTATCCTAGCCTAGGTAGCCACTGTGCAACTTCTGAACTTCAAGTTAGTTCAAGGGCTTGGTGATATCCTGCTCTTTCAGTTTTATGGACCAATGGCGCCACGCCAATGACTTTCCCCTTAGCGCACACTTACTTATCATTGCACGTAGTACATGCCTTATGGAGTCCTCATCTAGGGAGGTGCAGTGCGTTTATTTTTGCCATTTTGGTGCCTCCATTGGACCATTGGCAATTGCTTTGCTTGAAGACAATTTCTGTATGCTCTAACCAACTACACGTGTCATGTACATGTTCTCATAATGTATTACGTCATGTAGATTCTGTACCGGTAATCCCTTTGCTGGAACACCGCTTTAGAACATGGCTGTACAGTCTTTGTACTGCCTGGGTACTGACACTCGCCTTATAGTTATACATGTACATGTAGGTTATAATTATTACAATACTCTTGGTACTGAGTGATGTACAGATCTACCCCGGCCCGTATGATGATCACAAGTAAAGTTCACAGGAGACCGACACCTGTAGCTGTGAGATCGTGCCGGGCAACCAACCCGGCTCTCCCGACGGGGTCGTCATCATTGCGGCAAGAGATTCGTGATCACGACGATTGCATGCCCGTTCACAGGGGATGTGCCATACTTCCAACCGTATAATGATCATGCCACGGTGCGACTTGACTTGAGCAAGTTGAGGGGTGGGTAGGGGAGTTGTAAATAATGTGCGTGCATGTATTTTTTGTATTTTATTTTAAAAGGCTTTGGGCCTGTCGAGGGGATCTCCTGCAAGAAGAATGAAATGACAACTTTATGTAGAGGGAGCAGTTAATCGAGGATAGGCGAATAGATCGAGGCGGATGTACATGTAGGTACACGTAACAGTAGCGTATGTTACCCTGTACAGACGAAGACTGTACAAAAGCCGAACTCCCGTTTCTTGCCCGTCACAGTCATAATTTCGTCACACTCACAGTGAACATCTGAACAAGGAGTGGAAGAAAGTCGACGCTGCCCTGCATACGGCTGCGCAGCCGCTGTTGTCATGACGTGAGCAAAACCCCTCTAATAATAGCGCCCAATAATAGCCAGTGATTATTAAGGGGGTTCGGGACAGTTAGGCCCAAAAAATTAATTTCAACATCAGCCCAATCTGACATCAGGTTTGAATAGCTACAGCCTTATATTTTCGCTTAGTAACATCAGTTTTTCAATTGCCTGAATAGGTCTTGCCAAAAACACAACTTGATAACACAAAATATTGCAAAATCCGAAAATTGATGAGAAATCGTCCATAACACCAGATAGGACCAAAAATATGACATAAAATTATACAGACTGTTAGAGGTATTGACTAAGATGATATCAACACCAAAAAATGTACACTTTGGTTGACGATAGGATCCAGGTCGTCATTTCCTGGAGAAGAACAAAAAGACGCAAAAAATGAAACTTTGAATATTTTTTGCAGCTTATTTTTGAGTTTGCCCCATATGTGGATATTTCAAATACGTTCTATAAGTGGGTTGGAACAGGTTTACCGCGGCGAAAATAGGGGTCACCGTGCATATTCTGGAGAAAAATCCAAAAAACTGTCAAAATTTGCCTAAAATTGGTAAATTCACGTATCTATATTGCGTGTACTTCTCTGCTGCTGCTTTGGTCATAACTTATTGGATTTTTGGCTGTTGGGTGTTGAATAAACTCGCTAGAGCCCTCGGCGTTCAGAACAATACAAGGATGGAATAGCTGAACTAGTGAATTTGCCGGGAAACCCTGGGTGCACGCATTATCGATAGGTACTTTTCTCCATGATTACTCTCCTGTTGGTACTTGGTTTTGATACATGTACATGTAGCTGTGATAGCACTTAGCACAGCCCCATATCAAAAAACAATGAAAGCTGGCATGTTGGAACGAATCAGACAACATTGAGTCCTCTTGTTCTTCAACTATGCGAGCTAGAACGTGTCCCCACACTGGCAAAAATGATGGTATTTTACGGTGCGCACAAACAAGTGAAGCCCTGTGCCACAGGGCATTACTTACAGTTGGGTTGCTGCTGGTTCTTGGCTAGTTGTTCAGCCACCACTAATATAATCTTCCTTGAGGCTGTCACCCGCTTCTTACCTCCGACTTGCTCCTTCATCAGTCTGGGAATGGCTGGCTCACCATTTTGTTTGTAGGACAAGACAAAGTGCTTCATCACCAACCCACTAGCAGCTGCCCGCACTGCAACTGATTTAGAGAAGCACGTTGCTTGGACCAACGGTTGAAGGGTGGCCAGCCGCTTTTGCTGATGTTCTGCAAACTCCACTGCCGAACATGCTGATGCAAAAGTGACAGAGTGCTACAGGATACTGGCATCAGGGCGAGCTTCGACAATTTCAGCTAGGGCCGCAACCGTGATTCGCAACAGCATCATGAGCAGCGAACTCATTCCCAACGATGAACTATAAATCAATCTGAGGCTGTAGGTTGGGAGCTCCGGTATCGCGGTTTAGGGATCAGAGTGTTCACCCAGCACAAAATGCACACCATCGACACACACATGCGTGCACACATACACATACACACACACACACACACACACACACACACCTGTCCTGTCCTGTAGAGCCACTGCCACAGGGGTCACGTGGGCCCCGGAGGGGCATCAGAGAGGAAGATGGGCCACGCAGCCTGATGACGCCGGAGATGGTGGGGCAAACGGAACCGGCGAGAACACACGCATACATGACTGAACGAATTACGCTGCTGGGCAGTCGGGTGCGGGCCAGTCCTCGAGCACCGGTGACGACCGCGGCCTTGCACAGTCCGAAAGCAGCGGGCATACACACACACACCACACACACACACACACACACACACACATGCTCTCACACGCGCGCGTACACACACATACATTCACGTACCCACCCACATGCATGTGCACACTCATGTGCATGAGTGGAGATGCCCGCATACACATGTCACACCAACATGCCCTGGGAGCGGTCATGCACGTGTGTATAGTATGTGTGCGAGGGCACGTCCACATGAGCACATATGCATGTGCATGTTCATACATGCGTATGGTGCACACATGCACAAATATGCAGGTCTATGCAAACACACACACGCTCGCGCACGCCGCGCATGCAGTGTGCTCATACATTTCCATAGCCATAGGGTGGCAATGACTCCCAAATATCATGAATAAATCTTATGAGATTGAAAAACACACTTACCCAAGGAGCTTTGGTGTTGCTTGTGGAAGCACGGGGGCCAGGGTGTTGAGCAGTTACAGGGCTCTCTGTATCTATAAAATTCTCCATCCCACACTGCCGACACGGAATGACAAGTACGCTGCCCAGGCCGTACCTCTTCTCTTCAACGCAATCAATGAGCGCCAGAGGTTTGCCACATCCAGGATTCTGGCACGCAGACAATCCCACACTGAGCCAAATACCTGAGATGAACGATTCGTCGACCGTGAAGAGGGGCACTGAACGACCTCTTCGCGGGAGTCGAATCCAGTGGCGTTGGTGGTGGAGATCGCCCTTTCGGTTTTTCAGGAACTCGATCGATCGTTTGAGCTTGCGAAGCGACCCCCTCCTCGGCTTCTTGAATCGTCCAGTACGCAGAATGCGAGGCCGCGTCGTGGGTGACAGATTACTCTTCCGCGTCTTCATCTCCACGACACGTCGGCAGGATAACCAAGCTATCCAAAAACCGCCGATGTCAAAACAAATCCGCAAGTCCACTAGTAATTTAGAAAAGCGATCCTGTCAGCTTTTCTATTATTGTGTTCACATGGCAGAAAAAACGACACCGCTATGCTACGTAAGTAAGGGCTCGTACTTGCACAGAAACACGTGGGCGCCATCTTGGTTCACGTGACATGTGTCACACCATGCTGTGTACAGGGAATCTTGCCGTACTTCGCGTCGACTCTGGCCTGTTCAAATCCACCCAAGTGAGCCACAGTTCCCTCTAGCAGGCTGAGATTTTGCAGGCACCGAGTTCAGATGTGGGCAAAGGGATTCACCGAAGGATTTTTTGATTTTCGCAATTTAGACCTCAAATAACACCCTCAAACTCGGTAAACGTGTCCCACCTCTAGGATCGTTTTGGCGAAATTCGCTTCGGTGAAAGTATGGAGCATCTCCTACTGAAAATTTTGAGCCATCGATTGTCAAAATCGGCTCATGTGGAGCTCACTTGTGTCGTTTTGAAGGACGCCGCGCCACGCGCGACTTGCGCTGGTTCTTTCACAAACGGAAAACACCTTCCAGTCAGAACTGCAGACTGTGACAGTGCAGTGCGCACGGCAAGGAAAAGAAGGAGACGTGCATTTTCCATTTGTTGCACTGTGTCCTTTGCTTTTATTGTTCACTGATAACATGTTCACAAAATCTTGAGCTAGAGAGAAGACTGACTTACAATCTGTTTCATCTAGGCTTCAGCGTGATGCACGTATCCAGACCATAGGAAATATTGGGAAAGGAACCGGGAACCACGAGAATAATTTTTCTGGAGCGAATCCAATTATTACCATGGTTCCTTGTTCTTGAACACCGCGCTCCACATCGTCAATGTTCTGCGAGGTAAGGATTTCAGGACTACTGTCGGTTTGTTCGACCTCGGGGCGATCTGATCTACGTCCAGCTGGCCATGATACTGAGCCGAACTGGCCACTAGTTCGCTTCTTTCTCGACTCGGGATAATCAAGCCGGTCAGAGTGCGATTTCCTACCCTGGATGCGATCCATGGTGCGGACTGAAAATAACTACTGAACACCTCCTTGTACAAGCACTGACATACAAGACCGGTGGTGGATCCAAACTGACAACAGGAAACCCTAACAGCACCCGCTCTGTCAAAGAAAGTCGAAGGGAAGCAGTTCGAACCAGTTCAAGCACCACCAAAAAATAAAACTATGATAAAAACTAGCACTTGCTCTAGGTCGACTCAAAGACTGCACTGGCAAGTACACTTTTGCGCAGTCGCGATCTCGCGGCCCAGCATCACGTGCGGGTATCTGATGACGTAGCGTGATTCAAGATGGCCTCTGACGTGTTTCCCGTTTTGTGATCCCAAATACCAGCCCTGAACTGTCCTTACGTAGAAACTAAGTTTCTACGTAAGGTGCTCGGTACTTCACTTAGGCTACGTAAGTTTCTACGTAAGGTGCTCGGTATTAGATCTACTAACGGGTGGTAGCCGCGTGCTGTGCACGTGCACGGCAGACATTGTGTTGCATGCAGTGCAGTCCGTTTTCGGATGTGCATGCGCGAGGAACTTCCTTCTTTGGAACTGCTTCTTGCATGAGCTGTTTCGGTTATTTCGTGTCCTGGCTTATTTCGCTTCGGCTCTGCTGAGACCTCTTTTCACGGAATATTACTCAATGACAGGTGAGTTGACCAGTTCCCTTTGATTCATTTGCTTGTGTTGACTCTTTCATTTACGAAAAGTGTGCTGATTTTAGGTGGAATA